AAGCCTGCTTTGACCATACTAATGACTCTTTACTGAAAAAATTCATGTACTGGCATCTGATAACTTAAATATTGCTATTTGCAAATAGTCCTGAACTGATTTGGTCTCTCTGTTATTTCTAACTTAATGGTTCACCCTGTTCTGTTTTCCAGTTGAGCTATCGGCTGCTTAACAGGAATGTTTTATTTGTGTTCATTTAGAAAGCATGATGTCCAGTGCCAGCTGTCCCATGCCAGCACAGTGTGTACTGTCCTTTAAGCCAAACAGACACAACTTAATGACTAACGAGTTGAACGTTGGTATATTCGTGAATGTTTTCCATTAATCCCTCTGCAGGTAGGGCAGCAGCAAATGGAAAGCCAAGCTCGAGAAACAAATTGGCATCTTTGGCGTCTTAAAAATCAATAGTAAAAGAACTAAATAGGGGAGAGGATAAAATTTTTGTATTGGTACCTACCCTTGCACCCTCACATACTTAGTGGGAAGTTTTAGGTGGCTGTTTGTCTAGTGCCATAACTACCCCTCTCAGTGTTTTCCTTCCATTTCTAACTTCATTGCATTTCTTCTTCTGGGGACTCATGTCGTTTTCTCTTCCACCTTCTCTCTTTCCATTCCACTGCATGCCTCTTTCCTTGGTCTGACCTCAGAGAGGAGGAAGACTATGAAGAGGAGGAAGAAGAACAGCCAGTCACAGAGCCCAATACTGAGGATGAGGGGGAGGAAGAGGCCAGTAGGCAGGTCAAAGCCAGGTACCGGGATTTGGCATTGTCCCTCCACCTTTTCCTCAGCCTCTGGCATGAACTCACCAACACAGCGTGCAACAGCATCTGCCTTTTCACTCCCATTCCTAGATCACCTGTTAAAGTCACCCCCCAAGAAAATCTTTCTGCATTTAAAAGCTTTGTTGGGGAAGGTGTATGTTAATGGAAACATGTTTAATTATATAGGCTCTATGCACTAAGAACTGTCTGCGCTCACTGCCTTTGCACAAAATGAGTAACGCTCACAAATCTTGAAAGATTTTGCAGAAAGCATAACTTCTAAGCTTGGCTTAGGTTTATCTTTTTAGTTAAGGCAATGGTGAAATGTTGCAGTGCTTCACTGAGCTAGGATGTTGCTTGGTTTCTTAGGTTTTCATCCTTATTTTCATGATACAACCATATTAGCAATATCTGTCACTATGAAAAAGGTCAACATTTTTTGAAGGCTGCTTATGATTTCTGTCAATTTTGTTCATGTTTTAATAGGAAAATACTACTTAGAGACAAAGCTGATAGATATCATCTTATGCATACCTGCCCACCTGTGTATATATGGATGTAAACAAGCCACCTATCAAAACAATATTCTCATGTAAAATTTTTCACTTGTTTCTGAGGGATATATGGGTTTGGCATTTGGCAACTTTATCCTAATAAATGGGAAGAAAGAAAATATGTTCTTTCTTCCAGACAGCCATTTGATTTAGGTTAAATTGTTTGGCTTTGCAACTCGGCAAATGAGATTGGATTTTTTTTTTAAATAAACCACATTCATGCAGACGCTATACAGCACGGAAGGAAGAAAGGAAACTGTTTAATGTGCAAATTCCAAAGAAAATACTGTACTGTTGTTATTAATATCTTCCAGTCTGCAAATCTTGCCAATGGCTGCTGAAATTTCAAAATTAAGTGATAATTTCCTCAAATCCAATTCTTGAAAGTCAAAGCTAAGACACAAGTTATTAGTAAATCGCATGAATATGCTAAAATATTGTTAAAAAAAACCAAGGAAGGGGCATGTACAGGGCATGATGTGCTTTTAGGTCATCGATCTTTTAAAATAATAGTCACTTTGAGATAACTGGGTGATATTCCTATGACTTTTCTAAATACCTCCTTTCACTGTCACTGTAGCATAACAGAAGTGATCTGTACCCTGGCTGTTCATATTAGGTGCTGTCAGGACGGATAGGACTAGCCTGGCTTCGGGGAGTCCTGTGGCCCAGCTGGTGCAATAGATGAAGGTTTCCAGATTGCCCATTGTGCTTCTGTTGTGAGAACGATTACCTGGTATATACCTGCTGATATATAACATGTACGATGTTTTTGTTGCATACTCTGTGCGAAACCCACGCTCCTCAGATAAGGGCCGTGCCTTCCATGCCTCTAGGTGGATTGCAGAGGTGGTCTCAGGAGAAAGAAATCAGACACCTGCCGAGTGATCCAGCCCAAAGCCCATGCACAGTGGGCTTTCTTCCCTTTCTCACTGTTGGAGATACTAGAGAAAACAGATACCTTGGAGAGCAGATCCCATGGCTTTTCACCTGCCTTGCTGTTTCTGTTACTCACCAACACCTGCCTTCACTAGAGTAAAGCAGATGTGCTTTCTGTCGAAAGTCTCTATCTAACACCAACATGGGATGCTGACACTCAGAGAAATTAGTGCCTTCATACCCAGACAAATGATCTGGTAAGGCGTCGCTTTTGAAATAATTCTCAACCTTAATTTTGACAGAACAGTGCCGATTGACTGTTCTTTTATTTTTTTCTTTGGTGCATAAGCTTTTGTAGTAAAAATATCAGATCACCAGGAAGGATGATAATCAGATGTCTGTCCTTCAAGAGGCAGTCATGCAGATTGTATCTTGAAGCATATATACTCTGTGGACCATGTCATCTAGCATGTTGAGACTGCTTTGTGCTGCTCTGACAGTGCTTGCAACCTAACTTGAAATACTTGAAAATTGTTCAGAAAATGGTTGTGAAAAGGTTCGTGAAAATTAGTTCTGAAGCCTGTGGGCTTTCCTTTAAGCTGAATCACTTCCATTCTTCAGTATTTGCAACCCCCAGAAGAATCCCACTGGGATACAAAAATGTGGATTTCCTTACTCTTTTTAAAAAAAAAAAAAAAGAGATAACGATTGTCTACGTTTGGGAAGTTTTTGTTTGTCTGTCTCTCCTAGATTTTATTCTTTTTCCTCCAAGCAGTACAATCTATTGATCTCTCTTTTCCCTGTTTTTCTCTCCTTCCCATTCCCTTCCCTTTCTCACAATGTTTTCCTCCTGCAGTGGGGTCCCAGGTGCGTGGGAGGCTGTGAATGAAAACCTTTCATGGTGTTCTGATTCTTCAGCTGTCTCCAGTGCCATTTCTCCAGCTGAGAGGCCTCTCTCCTGCTCTAGAGCAAAGACCTCTTCTAGCAGCTCCTCTTCTGTGCCTGAGTCATCTGTCTCTCATCATAATTCTGTCCTTTCGTCACCATCTTCACCTGCAGCAGCATTGCAAAGCTCTTCCCAAAATTCATCAGCATCCATTACTCCAAAGGCATCTCCAACAGTGGAGAAATTACCTTACGTACCACATACTCCTTTTCACCTCTTCTCATACGACTTCGAAGAGTCTCCAGTGTCTGTGAAAGAAAAGGAAGCAGAGGTGATGAGGGAAAACAGGTAGATTTTATACAGCTGACAATGTTTAGATAAATGAATAACACCTTTCAAGAGTTTTATGGTGGTAATAATGCACTCTCTGTGTTGTATTATTTCCAGAACATACTGTATTAGTTTTAGTCCTGTAAGCCTGTATTTTGATTTGATTGATATTCTCCCCTTGCCTTTGTTGCCTTCATTTCATCTTACTCCTCTTCAAGGTCTATAGTTAATAAGTATCCTGGCTCTCTCTATACAGCAGTAGATAAATAACCTGTGATTTGGGAGATCACAGAAAGGAGCACCATTTTGCTCTCATTTAAAACAATGTGATTTGCCAACATGATTTCATGAAAATTAATGGACCCTTTCTGCTATAAAACCAAGAGAGATCAGATCAGCACTTGGAATTCAGGGGTGAAATCCTGGCTTCAAAGACTGAACTGCCAAATCCTGAATTTGCTGTTAGATTACAGTGCATATCCCTGTCATGCGCAATTTCAACTTGTGCTCATAATAAGAGAAGTAGATTAAACCCTGTAAAGAGAATATAGCAGCCAGAATAGACAGTTTTCCCTCCACAACATCTGGTCAGTTCAGTTGCTCCTCAGACATTTCTCTTAGGTTTTAATTTTAATTTTTTATTTCCCCATCCCATGATTATTAAAACCCAAAATAAATTGGTTTGCCTCAATCTGTTTTCAAGTATAACAGATTTGCAATACGTAGCACTAAAACCAATGCTAGAGAATCACCTTTAAAAGAAGTTGATGACTTTTAGCCATCTCTCCCAATGGTTGGTGTTGTTTGAAATAGGTGCTGAAAATGTACATGTATATTTTGAGCCTATTTATTTCTTCCTTTCTGCAGCAGTCCTTCTGAATTTCTGCATGTGAACAAATATTTTGATTCCTTTGATCCTTTTAATTTTCGATCTTTCTCATCTAATAGGTGGGTGGTTTTTGTTGCTTTTTCGTTTCACTGAAAAGCCTGTAAATCCAAATAGCTGTTGACAAGAGACTTAGTCCACGTCTTTCCTTACCTGCAGCTTGAACGCTGAGATTCCTCTAAATTCACATTTTCCTGCATAGGTGCAATTTTCCCTTAGGCCTCTCTCACTCATTTATTGCTCTCTCATTGCTGCTGCTGTTAGAGTTATACATTTTAGAGAGTAAATTCCTAAATATCTCCTGTTACTACAATATTTAGTTATTCTCCAGTGACTTTTTTTTTTCCTCTGACCATCCTTATGCTTCTAGTTACCACATAGGATCAAGGGCGTGGTGTGGGGGAGAATTGTGCTGGGTTTATTTGGAGAAAAAGGAGAGCAAAGCTTGCATGATTTGGTCAGTAATGTGTTCATTAAAGAGGTTCATGTCTGGGATTTCTTCAGAGTGAAGGCTTCTGGGACAAGGCCGTTGAATCTACGTTGGTATATGAGACAAGAAGGGAAAATGGATTGTGTACAGGATACGGACTTACCCTGGTGTGAAGGGTTTGCCTCGCTACTCTTCCAGCATCTCTGTCTCCCTCTAAATTTGATATATAGGGATGCTGCGTCCAGGCCAGTCCCTCTGAATTTGGTTTTGTTAGTACTTGTAGGTCTGAGTCCGTAGAAGGTATGTTCTCACCATTTTTATGAGACTTATCTTTGGACTAATTGAAATGCCTTAGTCTAAAAAAGGATACTGCGCTGTGTCAGCTTTTTCATGGGGGAGAGGAGAAGAAAAGCAAATGCAATGGTTGATAAGAAGGTCTGCTTTCAGTTGATTGAAACAGAAATGGAGCTTTCTATTAGTTTCAGGAACATGCCAAATGAGCTCCGAGTTGTTCTCGTCGCTCAGTCAGTATGGGCACAGGTAGAAGATTTTCTGAGCTGAGCCTGCAAGAGGGAAGACCTGTGCCAGGTCTGTGCGCTGCCCAGCTACACAGCCCTCCACTGGGCCACCATCTCCAGTTTCTAGTTAGCTTTCTTCTAGGGCGGGAATGCCAGGAAAGCAATTATTTCCCATTTGGCAAAATTCCTTTTGTAGCTCAGCAATGTGCGTGTTACCATTTTTTTCCAAAATTATTCCCTTGTTCCTGGGCACTCAGCATGGTGTCTCAAAAACAGATGGTGGTGCTGGGGTGTTTTCTAAAACATAAACGCGGAATTGTTGTGAAGGGGGAGTGTTGTCTAAACCATGATGCCTTCCATTATAAAAACCCCTAACTGAAATCTGTTCTGATTTTAACACGGGCCTTGGCAGGCAGCAATACTGTTGCACCCTAAGGAATGAAGCTTGAAACTCTGAATGAAATTTTGCATGACTAGACGAGTGTGCTAAATGAAGCTGAAGGAAACCAACCCGCCTTTTCAAATAAAATTGCTGAGTGAAATTACTGAGTGCTGATGTGTGTGGGAGAAGAAGCAGCAGAGAAAAGATATGGTGCAGGGGGGATATATTATAAGTTATGAATTATAATGAGGAAAATGATGTTGCCCTTTTTCCTGAAGTGAATTTTGTCATTTGGATGAGTTGGCCTTGTGGAAGACTTCACTTACAGAGCATCAGGCTCTTTCCACGTTGGAAAATGGTATCATCTGTGAACAGAAATGTTAACATTTTTCCAAATCAGGAATTTCTCCTTGACATGCTGTTTAAGTATGACGGTTAAAAGGCAAAGCAGAGCAACACAACTGCCTTTTCTATTCAGTATTGGAGCCAGGATGAAAACATTGATACAAGGGACTCTGGGGAGGTGGCTGTTCCAGGAGTCCTGGAAACAATTTCTCTTTGATCAGCAAGCTCACATTGAAGTCAAGCAGGTTTTTGGTTTTTTTTTTTTAATGGAGGGAATGGCTGGTAGAAATTCCTAAAGCCATGCTTCCGGAGACATGTCTTTTTAACCATGGTGATGATTTTTTACAGACATTGTAAGAAATGGCACATAAGCTATGACTTATGTTGGGGGAGGGGAAAGAAAATACTGCCTGCTTTAATTGAGAAGAATGTGGATGCTTTTCATTTATAATGCAAGCATTTGCAAATCATGGATGCACGTGTTCAGATCATGTCTTGGGAGAGCTGCTGTTTTCCTGGGATTAGAGCAATATTTTCAGAAGGTGGATGTTTGAAAAGTTCTGGGGTATGGGATCACCACCAACCCCTAAACAAGAGGATTTTCTGTTGCATGGCTGCTTGCTGATGGATTCTTTCTGTCTCTCCCTTTCTCCTACTTCCCTTCCCATTGCTTCAGATACAACAGCTATGGCAGCAGCTCTTACTCTTCTCCACGACCTTATGCTGGTGTGAGTGCCCCTGCGACACCCACTTCTCGTTATGGGACAACTCTGTCACCGCCTCAAGAGACCAAATCTGACAGGTTTGTAAATTAATCAGTGTTTTAACAACAGTTCTTCTCTAGACAGGAGGAAGGAGATAAGTGTAAGCTGTTCTGAATGAGTATTGGAAATATCTTGTAGCCAGGTCTTTTCTAACGCTGGAAAGAGAAGGTACAAAAATCTAGACATATTCATTTCCGACTCATTCTCAAGCCTTTCTCTGACTTGGTGTTAAAGGCTGGATGTATTTCCATCCTACTACTACTTCTTCCACTTAAATGGATAAAACAGAGTTGTTTCACACATATGCTGTTCTAAGTATTAAAAGGTGAATTAAAGCACATTTTATTTCTTTCCATTTTTTAAAATAAATTCAGACATCTATTTTCAGTTCTATCATTTTAAATCAACTATAAAAATCTTGCAAATGTGCTTAGCTCAGAATTTCCTAGGCCATAATTTTGTCCTTCCTTAAAAATACATGATATATCTCATGGTATTTCATCAAGGGCAAAACGTTTCTTGCTGTAGGAAAAGCCAACTCATACTAACCCACCAGTTATCAGCTCACTTTAAAAAATAAAAAAGAACCTCACACCAGCAACAAAAGCAGTGTTTTGAACAATCAGAATACTCTTGAATTATGTAAGGTAGTAGGGGAAGAAAAATGATTAGGAAAATGTTATGGATACATGAAACAAATTCTTCTTGACAACAGATTTGGACCACCAGAAATTAACTGACCATTACAAACTGAAAGTAAATGACAGTTTCAAAGGATGTCATGCTGATTTTAAGGAGGAAAGGTAGAAGTTTTTAATTTATTTAACTAAATAATTTAATATAATAATTTAATTAAATAATTTCCAATTAGGCCAAATGGGCTTTGGGTTGTTTGTTGCCAGACTGACCTCCAATTCATAAAAATTCCATCTCCCACCCTTTTTTTGAACTGAAGGCTTTTTCAGGATCCTTTGTCTATATTCCAATTAATTTTTGTTACTGATATTTTTGAATATATTTTTTTTTTCTGTATGTGTATAGAAATACATTTATATATGTTTTTGTGTGTATGTATATGTTTGAACCTACCTAATGCTTCACATCCTTTCCATTCTGCTACTCAGAATGATTCAAGTTAGGTTCTTCCAGCGTGCATGTATTTCTAGCCATAAGGTATTGATTTAATCCTTTTTTTCAAGTAAGTAATTACATTAAGTTTATCTTCAGAGGAAGGCATCATTTTTCATTTGCTCATCTTCCTAGAGTAACTTGCCTCGATTTGTCTTTCCTGATCTGAATTAAATTATTGCCAAGTGAAGCCATAATAAAAAACTCTAAACCGGCATTTTCACCCCTTTTACTTCAGCAAAATAGATGCAAGATAAGCAAGAATTAAAAGTATCCCACTGCTTTTGAAGTCTCAGCTTTCTAAGCCCCTGCTGTTGTAAGCTTCTGATTGCTACTGCAGCAAAGAAACCCAAAAGTGGCCAAACACTGAAATGGCTAAAGATCGCTGGGCCTGTCCTGCAAGAGGTTGGTCCCACTGGCCCTGCTCCAGTAAAGGAAGCGAGCTTTCACTGCAGCATGTGTGTAAGTGCCTTGCTGGTTTGGAGCCAAAATGCCTCAGCCCCACAGGACGAAGCTATAAAATTTGCAGATTCATGGAGAGTCGGGCCAGAGGGGAGCTCTCATAATCATCTGCTGTGACCTGTAATGGGTCTCACAGAAGCTAAATGAAAGCCCCCTGTACCTTCACGTGTTTTCAAGTGGTTGCACATGACTTCTGCTGGAAAACATTCCAGTATTTATCGTCACTGCTACGAAAATATTTCATATTTTGAGGCCAGTTTGTCTAGCAGCATCTTCCAGCCATTACACCTCCTTCTGCTTTTCTCTGTGAAACTGGAAAGTGCTCTGCCTTCAACTATCAGATCTCTCTTACATGCTTTAAGTGTCTGAACACAGCGTTTGGAGTTGCATCTCTGTCTTTCCTTCACCTTGCATTCACTGCTCTTTCCTCTTCTGTAGATTTGCAGCTTACTATTCACAGTAGTTGAACTCACTAGGACTTCTGCATTCTTATATTTGAGGGATGTTACAGCCTGATGGTTTTCGTATGTTCGTCTCTGAGAAGTGTGAAAAATGTGCGCGTGCCATAGCTGTATATTGCCTACAGAATAGATGTGGTTATTTCTTGAAACATACTTAAATTTGCAGGTTCAGGTGACATCTGATGTCGTTAGATGCATCAAGTCGTCTTCTTTTTGAGTGCGCTGCCATTGCAGATGTATAGTTTATCAGGCTTTAATAGCGTGACTGCTTTGAAGAAAGGCAGAAGCCTACTTTTATTTCATTTTTGTGAAAGACATGGGTTGTCAAAGTGCCCACACAGAGATTGATGGATAGAATTTTGTGCGTTGGAGAGTAGGCTGTGTAGTGCATGATGCAACACTCGACACTAATTAGTAAGTGGAAACTATTGTGGAAGTTTTCGCAGTCTTCTATCAATGGTATTTGCTTTAGATTATGTAAACATTTTTTCCTACCTCCTGATGGTAAAAATTTACATGGATTCAAACACAAAAAAAAAAGTTAAAAGATGAAGGCGGGAGAGGAAGACACTTGATAAGAAGCAGATGCGTATCTACGGTGAGTTCCAAGGTGAGTTTTCTGCTTTCAGCTTACGACTACAGTTTTTCAAAGCCTCCAAAGAAAGATTTCTGTCTTTTATCATCCAGGGAAGAGCTTCAGATGCAGTTCCTGGTACTGTTTATCTGACCTTCAAGAACGAGGAGGAAGGAAGAAGCAGCATTTAGAGCAGCGCCCAGCGAAATGATTCATGCTCCATTCAGTTGCCCTGACGGGCCTTTCAAACCCTTGGCTGCATTTTGCTTATGTAAACGAGAGCTACAACTTAGGTGGAAAGAAGCAGTTTGGTTGACATTTTGACATTCATGTTTTTAAAACCCTCTTTGGCTACGATCAGTAAGGAATCCAAAAGAGCGGTATAATTCAGTGCAACAGTAACAAGATTTTGTTCTTTGAAATCCACATAATGTATATATTTCTGATTGTACAGCAGAAGAAAAGGCTTACTTGACTGTTTCTCAGTTTCTAAAATCAGCTGCAGCCTTTTGCCAACTTCTTGCAATAGTGCTGTTCTCTTTCATTTATGTGGGTTCCCTGTGGAGAGCCATGTTTCTGCAGTGCATATTGCAGTCATGGGAATCCTGCTGATTTTTCTGCTGAAGGAGGGCACATTTCAAAGCACTTTCTGTTCAGCCCTTCGTTGGGAGAGAAGAAAAGGGTATATTGGTTCTCTCATATCTCTCTGCTTGTGAAAGTTGCTCCTAATGTATAAGTATAAGCCAGTCCACCTGTATTCAACTGCCAGAGAATTCTTTGCTCCATAAATATACTGGCCTCACTCTTCATGACCTAAATAACCAGTTAACTCTCTCCCCAGTTCCTGAAAAAAAATAAAATACCCATCTCAATTTCTTAACTTCATAAATTTTCGTTACAAAGGAGAAGAACAAGACGTGGCTGCAGCACACCAGGGAGAAAAGCATTTTCCCATACCTCCAAGTTGCTGCCTTGCCTGGGGAAGAAGATGTTGTAAGACTCTTCTATATTTCCATGCCTTGTTCTTAAACCTAGGATATTTCTGTTTGGCCAAAGATTGCCTTCTCAGACTCTGAATCTAAGATGTTCGCTCAAAGTGAAAGCTGCAGCCTGGAATCTGTAGCTGGACAGCAAACTCATAACTTGTAAAGCTTCACGCCTCCTCATAGTGTGTTTTTGGTGGTGAAGTGTATGAGTTGTTGGTCATGGCCAGTTAGAGGAGACCCTGTAACTTCTAAAGCAAGAGCTCCTGAATCCAGCACAAGCTTTAATTCATTCAGTTGCCAGAAAAATATGCTGCTTGTGTTTGCTGAGGTAGATTTCTTGCCAGGAGACGATTCCCACTGGGCTTGATAGTCAAACAGTAGTGCAGTTAGCCTAACTTGAAAAGCCTTCTACTGAGGGCACTGTGTGCTGAGGCAGGAGTTCGTGGTCCCCATTCTCTTGCCTCTGTCTGTTAAATCAAATGCCAGAAAGTTCAGCTTGCAAACCTCCCCTTTTGGATCTTCTTGGCCAGTCAGTGTGAACTTACTCTCCACCTCTGGCTGGTCCCTCTGAAGTTCTTCCAAATCTCCAAGCTTGGTAAGGGCCTGCTATGATGTTTGCAAATTATTCCTGTTTGATGCACTCTCCAACTTTTCCAGACTGTTAGAAAATAGACTTAGGAAAGATGAAATGTGTTTCACATCCCTTAGTCTGTTTTCCGTCTTGCTTGCTTTATGATCTACTGCAGTACATTACCTTGGGCTCCTGTGATGGAGGGTGTGGTTGACCCTGGCAGGGCACCAGGTGCCCACCAAAGCTGCTCTATCACTCCACCTCATCATCTGAACAGGGGAGAGAAAATACAACAAAAAGCTCCTGGGTTGAGATAAGGACAGGGAGAGATCATTCAGCAATTACCATCACGGCAAAAACAGACTTGACTTGGGGAAATTAGTTTAATTTATTACCAATCAAATCAGAGTAGGATCATGAGAAATAAAACCAAATCTTAAAACACCTTTCCCCAACCCCTCCCTTCTTCCCAGGCTCAACGTCACTCCCCAGTTCTCTACCTCCTCCCACTGAGCAGCATAGGGGGACCAGGAATGGCAGTTGTGGTCAGTTTATCACACGTTGTTTCTGCTGCACCAGCGTGGAGTCCCTCCCACAAGAGACAGTCCTCCACGAACTTCTCCAACCTGAGTCCCTCCCAGGGGCTGCAGTTCTTCACGAACTGCTCCAGCGTGGGTCCCCCACAGGGTCACAAGTCCTGCTGGCAGACCTGCTCCAGCGTGAGCTCCTCTCTGTCCACAGGTCCTGCCAGGAGCCTGCTCCAGCACAGGCTTCCCACAGGGTCGCAGCCTCCTTTGGGCATCCATGTGCTTCAGCACAGGGTCCTCCACGGGCTGCAGGTAGGAATCTGCTCCAC